GTCCACCAAACAGAACAGGGACTAAAGAAAGCCCAACATATGAGATAGTCCTTACTGAAGGAATGCAATACTTACTTTATGTTGAGTAGAGATTAACAGACATCAATACAGCAAATTCATTGAAGATTTTAGAAATCACCTTCAAAAAACATTTTAGCATAGATCAACAGGCACTGTTGTCTCAGGGTGGCCGGAGCTCAGATACAGGGCGTTTCTGAAGTGATGTATCCTTCATTTTGATAGAGATCCAAGTACACTGGGTGATGCAACTGTCAAAACTGTGGTACATTTAACATGTGTGCATTTCATCATAAGTAAATTTTACCTTAAAAAAAGACTTTAATGATATGCTTGCTGAAATTATTTAAGGATGAAGTATACTGTCTGCAATGATTTCCTATTCCTCCTTCAATAAAAACTTGCATCTTCTGCAAGTATTCCCTGTAAGACCTGGCCTATGTAGACTTTCCAACCTCCCCTTGGGCATCTCCTCCACACCAGGCATCTTTTAGCTCTGTGAATCAGCCTTTCTCCCCTCAGGTTTCAGGGCCTTGGCATCAATGTTCTGTTGACCTGTGATAACATTTGTTCTCAGGATTCCTTATTGTCTGGGTATGAGCTGGATCAGTGCTTAAATCTTTGTCTTCTTCTAGCCCAGGCAGTTTTTCTTTGCTTTATTTACTTTCATTGTTGCTAGCGTCCATCCAGCTGATTCCTAATCACATTAACCCCACGTGTGCAGAGCAGAAATGCTGCACAGGGTTTTCACCCTTATGAAGCATAGCGCCTTTCAGAATCATATTGCTAGGCCTTTCTTTTGAGGTGGTTCTGGATGGATTCTACCTACCAACCAATATTTTGCCTAGTAGTCCAGCACTTAGCCTTTTGTATCACTAAATAGTGGTAACTAAAACGTGGAAGGAGAAAATACTGGGGGAAAAGAGACTAGGCCAAAGTTCCTAAAGCTTGTGTGTGGGGGGATTGGGGTAGGTGGAGTGAGGCTGGGGGCTAAGCATGGGCTCCTCAGTCACCGCCCCCCACCTCTGAGAGCAGCAGTGGTGGAGCTGGCTGGCTCCTCCTTCTCCTTGAGAAAGGGACTTTAACTTGTAACCTTTGCTGTCAGCGTGGCATTAATTTTTGCAGCCACTCCCAGAGGCAGGTACTGCTCTCCCGAGTTTGCAAAGAGGAAGCAGCGGCCAGAGGTGGGGAGAAACCTAGCCAAGGTCACCTGGCATAACAAGGGTTTCCTTCACCCTAGGTGCTTCTATCTCTGAATGTGAATGGACCTAAGCACTCCTTTCTCTCCCTCAATTGCTGGCAAGGAGAATAAAAATGCGGTCTTTAACCCATGCATCTATGGTAACTGACTTTTGACAAGTGTGCTAAGTCCATTCAATGGTGAAGCAAGAGTCTCTTTACTAAGTGGTGCTGGGAAAATCGGATTTCCACTTGTAGAAGAATGAATGAGGATCCATGCCTCATACCGTATACAAAAACCCATTCAACGGCCTTAGTGTGGAAACTAAAACATTAATATTTTAGAAGAAAACATAGAGATGTGGCAGTGGAGTCTAGCTTTTGATGTTGCATCGATTATCAGATATTATAACAAAAGCACAAGCAGCAAAAGGCTGTTTTTTTTTTTTTTTTTAAATCTATTTTAGATAAATGGGACCTCCTAAGAAGTAAATACTTGTGTTGATAAAAAGGTCTTTATTTCAAAAATGAAGAAACAACCTACCCACTGGGAAAACATCTTTGGAAAGCATATGCTGTTGTTTGCCATCGAGTCGGCCCCGACTCATAGCGACCCCTCCTTGGGTTTCCGAGGCAGTATCACTACGGAAGTAGATTGCCCCATCTTCCTTCCGAGGAGTGGCTGGGGGATTTGAATCGCCAGCCTTCTGGTTAGCAGTCAAGTGCTGTAGCCACTATGCTACCAGAGCTCCCTGGAAAGCATATAGCTAACAACAAAAAGACAACCCATTTAAAAAATAGGCAAAGGGCTCGAACAGATATTTCATTAAAGAAGATACTCAAATAGCCAACAAGTACAAGAAAAAAATGCTCAATGTCATTGGCCATTAGAGATGCAAATCCAAACTACAATGAGATATCAATTCATTCCCACTAGGATGATGGTTTAAAATAATAGTAATAATAATGCACAGAAAACAAGTATTGGCAAAGATGTGGTGAAAGTGAGACTCTGATCCATTACTGGTGAGAATGCAAAATGGCCCAGCCACTGTGGAAAGCAGTTTGGGATCGCCCAATCTTCCTTGTGAGGAGAGGGTGGTGGGTTTGAACCACCAGGCTTCTGGTTAGCAGTTAAATGCCTTAGGCAAAGGCCACCAGAACTGTTGATACTCAAGAGACCTGAAAGCAGCAACTCAAACAGGCACTTGTGCACCAGTGTTCACTGTAGCACTATTCACAACAGTCAAAACGTGGAAACAACCTACAGGCCCATCAAAAGATGAATGGACGAACAAAATGTGGTAAATACATACATACAAGGGAATACTACTCAGCCAATAAAGAGAAATGAAGTTTTGATCTGTGCTAAAACATGAATGAACCTTGAAATGTTATGCTTAGTGAAATAAGTCAATCACAAAAAGACATTATTGTGTGATCTCACTTATATGAAATAACAAGAATAGACAAATATATCAAGATCAAAGTTTATTAGTAGTTATTAGAGGCAGGATTGAAGCAAATTGATAGTGTATAGGATGGAAAATTTGGCAACAATTATGGATAGTGGTTGCACAACATGATTAATTTAATTGACAGCACTAAAGGTACACGTGAAAAATGTTGCTTTATCTCTCTAACGCGTGTGCTAGTTTGTCTCACTGTGATGGCTTGCGTATTGCTGTGATTCTGAAAGCTATGCCATCGGTATTTTAAGTATCAGCAAGGTCACCTATAGTAGACAAGTTATATATGTAACTATAGTCTTCGGGCGCTGGGCATGGATCTGAACCTTGCATTCCGAGCCCGGCGCAAACGAGGTCCCTAGTCTTATACCGAGGAAAGGGCAGCTGTGCGCGGCCGATCTGCAGAGCTCTGCTTCGGAGGGTCGAACTGCGGCAGCGTCCGGTCACAGAGCCAAGCCCGGGTCTCAGCCTGGGACACACGTGGAGCCGCTTCCCAGAACGAAGGGCGTAGCCCGGCTGCGAAAGGTGTCAAGGACAGAGGCCCGCCAGATCCTCCCGCGGGTTTGACGCCGCCTTCAGCCAGGATCCGCCCTGGAAAACTCGAAGCGGAGAGACCAGACGCGACCCCGCAAGGCCTGTTCAGGGGCTGTGCATGCACCGAGAGGCTTATTTGGGGACCCTGCCCAAACTCTTTTCTCGCCACCCCGCAAAGATGGAGCCGCAAGAGTCCCGCCCCACAAAGCCGACGGCGAGCGCTCTCCGCCAGGATCCCGAGGAGGATTTGGAGAACAGAAGAGTTTAGCGAGCGTCCCTCAGGGGCTGAGGGGCAATCGAGCGTTGGCCAATGACTGCCGTGGGGGCGGGGAGGAGAGGGCCTGGGCACCTGCGTGAGCCACGTCCCTTCCCCACCCTCACCCGCCCCACCCAGGTGGCCCCGCCTGTCCGCCCGCCTGTCCTTTTAAGCCCCTCTCGGTGCCCCCGGGTCGCCCGAAGGCTCCCAGTGCCTACCCCGCCTGTCCCCGCGGTGTCCTGGAGGCGCCGCACCCGCAGCTGCGTGCGGTCCCGTGGCACTCTCGGAGGTGGGTGGAGGGCTCCGTGCAACGCAGGGCCCGGGCGCCGTCGTCTGTGCCGCGACATGGGAGCGCGTGTGGCGCTCGTTGACGCAGTTTACTTTGGGTGGTCGTCTAGCCCTCTTGGAGGTTTTTCCTATTTAAGTGGCTTTCAACCCCAAGTCGCACGTACTTGGGGTCAAGAGAGGCCAGGATCTGGGCGCCTTGGTTGGCTTGGGAGAGAGAAGCAGATGCGTTCGTCGTGGCTGACCTCTCTCCTGACCCCGTGTTCTTTAATTTCTAAGTCACGACCCTGTGGGTTTCGTTATCGGGCTCATTGATCTTACCCTCAATGAGGGGCTTCATTCCTCAGCCATGGTTAACTTGTGCCGTGTGTCAGTTAAAAAGCCATTCTTTACTCCGGCGGCGCGGGGCCGGGAAGGCAGGCGGCCGGCGAGGCGTCTCTTTCCTACTTGGCCTGGGGCCGCGACCCCAGGCCTCTACCCTCCCCAGGTGGGTGACTTGGGTTTTCCGAGGGACCCAGGGGCTGTGGCAAGTATTTTCCTGCGTGGCGAGCGGAGCCGCGAGTGGAACCGGAGGTAGCTGCCCTCGGACAGCCTGACCGTCTGCGTCCTCGTCGTCAGACCACGGGCTTGCAGCGGGGCGCAGGGTTCCCGGGGCCCGCCTGGGGTGCTCGGAAGCGCGCTTCCGCCTGCAGGTTCTGACCGGGGGCCCTTCAAGCTTCCCTCCCTGCCGTTGCCCCCAAGTTGTCGGACGGCCTTGTGCTCGGCTCTCGGCCTCATTCCCGGAATTGGAAGGGATGCGCGGCTCCGACCCACCCTATTAAAGAGTTCTGTTGGACTGAGAAGGAGGGAGAGTGTGCACTTTGGAACTGGGTTTGCAGGAGCCGGGTTGGAGGCCAGATGCAGGGAGCAGGTGTTGGAAACCAGTCGTGCTTAGTCAAAGAATGTTTGGGTAGGGAAGGCAAAGGCAACCCTAAGCAGAAACTTGGAGTCGGTCGGGATCCCGGCAGGTTTTCGTTTGGGGCTTTTTGGTTCTGTTTGTTTTTGATTCTGTTGTTTTGTTTGGTTTGCGGTAGGAGAAGATCCGCGAGACAGAATTGGGAAATTTATCCAATTCCCTTCGACCTGGGGAAGGAATCCTCTCTCCGCCTTGGTAATTGCGCCGGGCTGGCTGGAGCCCGGCGGGGACTGCGGGCAGCGCCTTGCGACGCGCACTCAGCCGCGCTCGCTTTTCCCAGACCCGCCGCGCTTTGTGTCCCGGGATGGCTCTGCGACCGCTGGGTGAGGTCGGGCCCCAGGACAAGGCGTACTACCTGCCGGAAAGGTTTCAGAGCAACCGTCCGCACCTGGCCGCCTATTACACGCCTTTCCTGACCTACGACCGCTACGGGAACACCCTTACCGCGGCCGAGGAGGACTACCAGTCTTTCCGGCAGCTAGAGTCCGCAGTGTCGGGGTCACAGGCCATGCTCCCGTTTGCCTTCGGGACGGCAGCTCCTTTGCTTAGCCCGGGCCTGACCCTACAGACCGAGCCGCTCTACGATCTGCCCAGGTACAGCAAGCTGCCACCTTGGCACCCAATTCCCCACCTCCCCAGGGAGGTGCCACACTTGCTGAACAGCGAGTATACAGGAGCCAACAGTGGCGACTTCGGCCACATTGGTGGCCAGAGCCACAGTGGCCAGTGTTGCGGACCTGAAACTTTAATCACCCAGCCCCCTGTGGAGGCTACCCTGCTACCTGAAGGTCCGAAGACCTCCCAGTTGTCTTGCGCCCCCAGTAAACCGTCTGAGGATGTCCCCAAAGCCCTAAACCCAGAAAGGAAATCGCCTCATCATTACCACTTCACCGCGGAGGACCTACACCTAGTTCTGTATGGGGTCATTCCCAGCCTGGAGCATCCAGCCCGTCTGCACCATGCTATTTCTGGCTTTTTGGTCCCTACAGGCAGCTCTGGTAAACGAGGGTGCAAATCACCCCGGGGTTGGGTTGTATGGGAATAGAGGTGGGAGTGTAAAAGAGGCACTTCAAGTTGGAGCTGAGTTTGTGTAAGTGGGGGTGGGTTGGTGGAGTTCACTTTCCATCAGAGGTGGAGCCTGAGGATTCTAAACTCATTTCTGAGATTTTACTTAACTGCTTAACTCCTAAGGACGACTTTGGTCAGAGTTGAGGAAAGTCAGGGTCGTCAAGAAAGAAAGGCTTCATGTAGCCACCTTTTGTAAGGTGGCATCAGATTCTACCTGAACGCAAGGTATCTCAATGACATCTGCATGCAATGTACACTTGAAGTTCAGCTCAGCCATCTACTATGATCTTAATCAAAATCAACACCACTATCTCATTCTCTAGTTTCTTAAGTTTTCAAAATGCAGTTCATTCCATAGTCTTGCAAAGGTTGTTTTGAGTGTCATATAAGCAACTGTATGAGAAAATCTCATTTAAAAAAGAGCAGGAAACTGTAAAAATATGAAGGATAAATATAGATGATGGTTACCTGTAGGGAGAGAAATGCTTTCATAATAACACTGTTAATGAAAATGTATGAAAAAAAAATGATTCTTTTTTAGGATCTGATTCCCTTCATCAAAGTCTGGATAAAGAGTCCCTTCAACTACCAGAAGGTGGGCACAAATTCTGCTTGAATATCTTTTCCTGACCTAATGCAGACTCAGTTTCCTCATTGTATTTTCCTGCCTTGTTTTCCCCTAGGTCTTTGCCTTCTGCAGACAATGTTTGGTGGAGCCCCACATTTTGGCGTGTTCTGTAGTAGCCTCATTGCCAAAGGAGTCAGGTTTGGGCCCTTTCAGGGTAAAGTGATCAATGCCAGTGAAGTTAAGACCTATGGAGACAATTCCCTAATGTGGGAGGTAAATATGTTTCTAGTGAAGGGCTGAAAATGGGGAGGAAAGCTGGTGGGGGTGATCTTGGTCTTTGCACCTGTGTGAGAGTTCCGGGCCTGCACACCCCCAGCAGGAATCTGCTCCAAGCCATAGGGCTGTCTGTTTTGCAATATAAAGGGGAGGGAAGGCAGGCATTACTACTAGAGGATAGCATCTTTGCATGAATTCTATGAGTTCTGTGGTGCCTTAAGTCATTCTAGTCTGTGAAGATAACCCACTGAATATACATTTAAAGAGTTAATACCTTGTGTTTTATTTATAGATAATCCAAATGGCTGAACCTAGGCCAGAGGGGAAAAACTAATTTTAAATTTTTATATTTATTTGCCTTTGCAGTTAGCAAAGGAGTTTTTAAATTGATGTTCTTCAAGCTAGTGAATGAAGGTGTACGTGGCATGCTGGTGGGTCTGCAATTTGTTACCTGTGTGGAAAACAGTTTATCAGAATGCATCAAGTACCTTAAAATCTTTAAAACTTTTTGATCCTGAATTTCTGCTGCTAGGAATATAGTTTAGAAACATAATCTGAAATTCAGACTATGTGGAAGATTTTAATCACATCATTGTTCATAATAATGAAATATTAGAGACAGTGGAATTGTCAACAGTGGAGAAAGCTGTAAATAAGGCCCCATCATCACGCATAAAAACTAGGTTGGAATAAAATATACCATTCGTCATCTAGGTTGGAATTAAATGTAATCTTGTTTCCCTTAAAAATTAATACATAAAATTATAAACTTAACATGCTTACTACAGAAATTTGGAAATCAAGAAAGCGTTAAAGTGAAAATCTTTAAAAATCTGCCACATCATTCAGAGAGATGCCCTTATAGCTAAGTAAGTTTATAAACTACTTATAGTGATGCAGAAATTTATAGGAATTCAAGTGTGAGATTTAGGTTATAAGTTTTTAGTAAATGAATGTATAGATTAGGTGAAAAATGTACATTCCAAACATCATGTCTTATTTCATTTAGATCTTTGAAGATGGTCATTTAAGTCACTTTGTAGATGGAAAAGGAGGTGCAGGGAACTGGATGTCCTTCGTCAACTGTGCCCGTTTCCCCAAGGAACAGAATCTGGTGGCTGTGCAGTGTAAAGGGCAGATATTTTACGAGAGCTGCAAGGAGATCTCCCAGAACCAAGAGCTCCTTGTGTGGTACGGAGACTGCTATGAGAAGTTTCTGGACATTCCTGTGAGCCTTCAGTACACGGATCAGGGCAAGCAATTATCTGGGCCCTCTGAAGGTGAGTGCACCCTCTGCCTCACCCTGTGAGGCCTTCTTTGTGGAAGTTCAGGGCTGTTTTCCTCAAATCCTCCTGTAGCTAGCTCTCCACCTGTGAGCTCCTCTATCCCAAAGGCTAATAGAGGAGACTAAAAGGGGTGTCTTTAACCCGGGAGGCATCAGCTGGAGGAAAGTGCCTTTACCTTTTCTTCTACCTCTTCAGCCTCTCCTTGAGAATGAAATAAATGGATGCAAATTCTGCCTTAGGTGAGCCTGTTTGATTAGTCTCCGTTCAGGCTAACACAGCTGATGAAGTCAAAGAACTAGAGCCGTGTTTTTCAAATGATGTGTTGCAGTATCTTAGTGGGATGGCAAATCAATGTAGTGATTGAGACCAGCAGTAAAGAAAACAAAAAGAATATGAATAAAGTGGAATAAAAAATATTGATGTTCATCACACATAAGAGTAAGCATTATTTTCAGAAGACTTGTTTCAAAAAGAGCATGTAATTAATTTGTATGCTAGGTCTCAAATAGAAGACGTATTTCTGACTGTGGACTCAACTCTGAAGTATAATGTGAGTGTGAATAACTGGGACTCTTGTTAGATGCAGATTTAGATGCAGAGGACTGGCGTGGGACCCCGAGGTTGTGCGTTTCTAGCAAACAGCTGGATGATAACATTGCTGTTGATCCCAGGACCACATATGGGTAGAAAGGAGCTAAAGGACTGCCAACCTACTGCCTGGAGATAAACCTTTTTAATTTGCATTTTTAATAAGCTCTCTAAGTAAATTTTAGGAGCTCTGGTAGCATAGTGCCTAAGGCACTTGACTGCTAACCAGAAGGATGGCGGTTCAAACCCACCAGCCACTCCTCGGAAGGAAGGTTGGGCAGTCCTACTTCCTAGTGATACTGCCTGGGAAACCCAAGGAGGGGTCGCTATGAGTCGAGGCTGACTCGATGGCACATAATGAGAAGAAGAAGTAAATTTTATATATACAAAAGTTTGAAAACTACTGATGTAGTAGGTGTGGCAAGACAAATGCAAATTACTGTAGTATATATAATGAGATAGTCCACAGAGGCCAAATTCGTCTCATACTTAACACCAAACAAAGTTGGTTTGTTTAGGAAAAAAAAAATAAAATAAAAAGGGATTTGAGAAAAAATACCTGCTTTTAATAACTCCAAAAAGTAATCATTATCCTTTTGAAAACTTATTCAACTATTAAATACTATATTTTAAGTAGTATGTTTATGAATCAAACTAGTAAATATTTGATATCTCAGTAATGTTGTGTGTCCTTGAGTTGATTCCAACTCAATAGCATACTATGTAGAACAGTTTCCTAGTGTGGCACTATGGTTAAGCCCTTGACTCCCACCAGCCACCCTGAGGGAGAAAGATGTGGCAGTCTGCTTCCATATTTACAACCTTGGAAACGCGGTGGGGCAGTTCTGTTCTGCCCTACAGGGTGGCTGTGAGTTAGGCTCAGTGATGGGTTTCATTTTTAGCTTAATCTTTATGGGAGCACATGGCCTGGTCTTTTCTCCAGCTGCCTGGTTTGCCCGCCTTTCAGTTAGCAGCCCAGTGCATAACCATTGTGCCACCAGAGCTCTTTGTCTCAGTAATACTCTTCTGGAAATTTATCTTCAGGAAATAGCCCAGAAGGAAAAGTTTTGTCCATAGGAATATTTATTATAGCACCGTCCTTATTAGGGCTCAGTCACAGCCTGAGTGCTCAGTGGTAGTAGGATGATTAGTAACATGGAATAGTATGAAGATAACCAAGATCAGTCATAAAGGGATAAGGACTTATCATAGTGCTTATTGTTGTTACATTGCCAGCAAGTGGATTTCAGCACTCAGGTGGGTAAAAACCCAGCATATACAGTTAACTTGTGCTCCTATTCTGAACTAAATTATAGCCAGTGCTATAATTTACAGCATTGTTAAAATGGCATGTATTTTGGAGAATGTTTGGAAGGAATAAACAACTTAGTCTTCTGGGGGAGGAATTATGGATAAGTTAGTTTTCTCTTATACTGTTTTGGATATGATAAAAAAGGAAAGGAAAGGAAAATCATAATTCCTCTGCTCAAAAGAAATGTTTTTCACAAAAGCTTTTGGTTAGGATTGGGGCACTGAGGAGCCTTCCCTTTTAAGGGCTAAGTAAGGTAGGAAGGATCTGGGCCTGTATGTGGGTGGATTGTTTGATTATGCAAGTGTGCCTCCTGTGTTTTGGGGAGATGGAGGTGTGGAATGTGAGCACAACTCTTAGTGGTTTCCAAACTAGATCCAAACTGTATTTGTGACATAGCAGAATGCGTCTTATTAAGAATGTAGAGAAATTCCTTGACTAGAAACAGTAGTTGCATGAGATGGGGGAGAAAAACAAAAAATAAAAAATCTTCAAAGACCTGAGCAGCAAATGGAGACAAATGAAACCTAATTAATAGGGCAGTGTTTCATTTATGCCTCTGTGGCTGTTCTTATGCTAATTCGTTGTTCCGTTGCCATCCAGTGGATTCTAATTCATGGGGACCCCATGTGTGCAGAGTAGAACTGCTCCATGGGGGTTTCAAGGCTGTGACCTTTGGAAGCAGGTCTCCAGGCCTGTCTTTGAAGGCACCTCTGGGTGGGTTTGAACCTCCAGATGTTTAACTGTTTCTACCATTAACTCGTACTGAACCCTTATTCTAATTTTTGTGGGCTTTAGTGCTTTGATTTGTAGAGATGACTGATCCCTTAATGTAGACCCTCTCTTCCCACCTCAGGAAGCAGAAAGGCTAGGAATTTCTGATCAATGAAAACTTTAGCTCTGAGCAAAAACCATGCCAGTAGGGAGATTCTGAGAGTATTAGCACCTCAATGAAAGTGATAGACAGAGCTGGGCAGTGATCATCCTGGGCTTGGAGGTTGCTTTCTGGTTATTTACTTAATGAATGGTTTATTTCCTTAGCCACCTGTTAAACGTGCCTGGGACCTTAGCTGTCTACTAACAAAGCTCCTGATGGACAGCTTCCCTGTGGTCCTGATGCAAAACTCTCCTGACTCTTCTCTCCCTCCCTGGGGGCAGACAAAAAGGTCTCAGTGATGCATTCATAGTCAAAGCCACTTTATCCTCTGGAATCCAGAGGATACTCTGCAGGGATGCTTTTGTAGGTGGCCCTGTCCTCTCCCCTTCCCCCAAGACATACACCCCGCAACCCAGGACCTACACCTTCTCTAACCTCCCTCCTCCCCACTCCTCCTCCATTAGTTAGTTTTACCTTTCTTGGTTATTTCTGTCATTTGGAGATAGTATCCCATACACTGATAAGAACTCAGCAAATGTTATAATTAAATTTATCACCATGATCACTCATTGTGGTAGAGAATACAAGACATTTTCATTCAATTTCATGCATGAAGATTTTAACTCTGGAATCTTTCCTAAAAGTTTAAAGAAGTAAACTACAAAAATTTCTCCTTTTCCTCATCTTGAGAGGGTGCTGAGAACTTTGTAAATGGGTCTGAGGGGAGCAGTAAATGGAAGCCTAGAAAGCGAGGTGTAGGTAGTTACCATTGTCCTGGATGAGCTGTTTTAAGCTGTGGCTGAGACTGATTTAAACCTTGTCACAAGTACCAGTCAAGAATGTTCAAGAACTGTAGAATTGAACTGGTCCTAAAATGTGCTGGGAAATGTTTCTTCAAGAACAACATTGAAGGGAAAAAAGGGAAAGGTGAAATTAAGAGATTTAAGAGACATAGCACCCATGTAGATTTGACTCTAATTTGTAGACTTTGAATCCCAATTTGATGGATCTCATAACTAAAATAATTGAAGAAATATGTACATAATTTTTACATTAAGGAATTGTAGTCAATTTTTTTAGGTGTGGTTAATGGTTATGCTTTTTAAGAAGTTATCTTTTTCTTTTTGTGCTTTAATT